CCGCGCTCTCGAAACATGCGAGCAGGACAGCGGGGACCTTTTCGTAGGCACCGTCGATTCGTTCCAACAAGGGTCCCGCGTGCTTCGGGCCAACGTGACTTAATCAACCTTGTCACGACGTCCCATTGGATTGCGTGCTTGCATACGACGGCAACTTTCGGCAAACGCGTGACAAAACTTCGAAGCACGACCAGATCGTTTCGGACATTTTCTTGGGTGAGGAAGAGGTTCAGGCGATGAAGGCCGAGGTTGAAGCTTCGGTGCGGCCGACCAAAAAGGTGAGTAATGCCGCTCTTTGCATTTGCCTTAATGGGATCGCTTACCTCTACACCCACCCAACCCTCGTAGGCGTGCACAGAGTCGTGGAAGGCTGCCGACCACGGAGCTGCCTCAACCTCGTCACGAGTAGTCGACACCGAACTCGTTGCCTGCGTATGCCGTCATGATGTAAACCTGAAAATGGTCAATCTTGAGAGGTCTGGTGAAAAGTGAGCGCAGAGCTGTCTGGTTGGGACGTAGTCGCTTCCGCTTTCCTCTCCCAGTACTAATGCGCATATTCCCCTCCGACCGCTCAGATTATACTATGCGCTTGCCATCCTCAAGTGCATCTCAGAGCGCCTTCCTGAAAACGCCAAGATTGGAGTCTTATACGAGATTGCTTGTAACTTCAAGCACCACATTGAAAAGGTATGCTTCGATCACGACGCGTCCCTTCCTCCTCAGTCTCGTTGGCACAGACCAAATGCGCCTACTTTCCTATCATTTGTCACCCGAGGCAGCTCCTGCCAAAGCTTTTCAAGCGACTGGAGTTCGCCACGAGCGTCTTCCATGCATACGCCCATATCTGGTCCTGCCAAGTCGAGTTCAACCCCCGCCTCATTCCGAACTTCGGGTTGACCGATGGAGAGGGCTGTGAGCGATTGTGGAGCGGGCTACGGTCGCTCATTCCGAGGAGTAGCAGCTGTGCGCGCCAAGGCTCGAGTCGGTGAGGAGGAAGCGCGGATCGGCGCCGAGGTGCGGCAAGCTTTGGCTTGGATCGAAGATGAAAAGACTCGTATCACTAGTTGCCAAACACTTTGGACTAAAGTGTCGGGTAAGTTTTCGATACAGCGTGCTCCATATCACCTCTTATGTCGCCCTGACATCTTTCAAACCATCCCAACAGATACCCTTTCTGAATCGATCGACCCAGCTGATACCAAGTCCATATTCGGCACTGAAGATGTTGAAGAGATCCGAGACCGCGCGCTCATTTTACTGAATCGCCGGATGGAGCTTCTTCAGCTGCGCGAATGTTCTTGGTCCCAGAACGACCATTTCTTCGATGTTTGGCTCGACACTCGCGGGCAGTCAGAGGGCCAGTCCGAGCCCATGCCTCCTGCACTGTCAGAATTTCGTGGTTTACATCAACGATTGAACGCGACGGGAAGAAGTGTCAAGAAGGCGAAACATCACCAGCTACTTGCACATAATGGATCGGGAACACGCGGTCCTACGGAGACATCTGGCTCGACGACTCGGCGCGGCCTCCATCGCTGGCCGTGACGTTCAGCAAGTGCGGGTCATTCAGGCGCAGATGGATATGAGCGACGAGGCTCAACTCGCAAAGGAGGTGGGGCCTTTCTCCGCATAACTCCTCGAGCAGGACGGTGAGATGGGCAGCTCTTCGGATGAAAGCTACGGCGATGACTTTGCTGGTCAGGAAGACGAATACTTCTCGGGCGTTTAGACCAGCTTCTGATTTAGATTGAATTGGTGGAGCAAGTTAATGTTGAAACAATGGACATGGTCTTTGCAAACTAAAGTCGTCTCAATTGCGGTGGGTGAGAGTAATATCACCGTCTCAGAGAGAAATATTGTCAGACCTAATCTCTGGGCTGCGCCTGCCTTACTCCTGCCGGGTGACTTGCCGGGTGACGTTTCAGTTAAAGCGCATAAATGCTCGAGTACCTAGAATTTCTACCACGTGAAAATGGGTGAGTGGGTTTGGTCAATATAGACAATGTATCTCCTACCCGCGGACAGGGTTGAATAGCAAAGTTGGCATGTGCGTGCAAGCCCTTCTTCCGAACAAGATGGCTCGGCGGCTCTCTCTCTCTGAGGATTCCCGCTCGAAGGATTCGACTTCCTGTCATGGCGCGGCCAAAGACCCTTTGGACCGATCCCGATCCCTGCTACTGAGCCTTGCGCCTGTTTTAAGAAGAGCTTGGTGCCAAGATCTCAAGATCAAGTCTAGTCTATGCTTGACGGGGGCAGAAGTGCTGACAATTCATTTCAGTGCGGCGAATGCAAGATTTATCTCTGCTTTGAGCACTCACCTTGTGGCCTGAGGATTGGCGGCTTACCTCATTGCTGAGAGGGAATGTTTATCAAGTAAAAGGTAGGTATGAGCGGCCATCGATCATGTCTCGGAGTCAAGTGAGGTTTTCGCTCCAAGAGCCTGTTACAAGCCTAAGCCTTCCATGTTTTGACCAAACCTATGATCGAGTTCGACCCACCTCTCATCAAGCACGTACTTTGTCGCTACTTCGCTACTTACGACTGATTACCTACGTGTTCCGCTCCGCTTGCGCATTCAGGGGCTCAGATCAGTTCGCATTCTTCTGGGAGCGCGCGCCGCTTGAAGTCAGCCGGCCGGGGGTCGTCACCGTGGCCCAGCAGCTCTGATTGGCACTTTGGCGAAGACCGAGCCCGGCCAGATGCAACCCTTGCCCGTTCACTTTAGTGCTAATAGATCATAAAAAGATGCTAACATACACTGCAATTAGTGGAAGCGCGTTGCGCGGAAAGCAGACGCTCCGTCTGGACCACGGATCAGGGAGCACTCCATTCTCACTAGGCAATTCAACTATACATAATACTTCGAAAACAACTCGAAACAAGTGGAATAATGTTTGTGGGCAGGATTACGTCACTGGCACATCCCACGTCAACAAGGAGAGGTCGATCTCGAGCGGCCCAGGGGAAGATTAGGCACAAAGGGCAACGAACAATCACCCTCTCCGCCTTTAGTCACCAAGAGCCGGATGCATATGAAGCAAAACTTTGAAATAACTATTGTGGTGGCCTGTGTTGTCTGGCCCTTCAACAGCCAAGATCTCCGCACCGCATGCGCGTCGACGAGTCTGGCTGGCGCTGAGAGCTCGGCCATCGTCTCCTCACTCGCTGTCCTCGGCGGAGCTCGTGTTCCGAGTCCGCCGGTCAGCATCGCTGTCGCCGCCTTCATCGCCGTCGGCCATTTTCTGTTCTGCACTTGACCCGATTACCTCTTCCTCCAGCCTGAAGCTCAGCTCGCCTGCACGCTGCAATGGGATGATCCGATCCAGGTCTGGTCCCAACAACTTAAGCTTGCCACTCGGGCTTCGGAAATCCGCTTTGCGAAGGAGCGCGCCGCGCTGAACAATGATTCTGGCGTTGTCCCTGAGGGCCTTTACGTCATAGACGAACTTGGGCGATTGGATCTTCTCGTCGTCCAGCACGGAGCGTCGGCGCAGCGCAGACTCTGAAGACAGCGAGCCGGGTCAAAATTAGGCACCGTGTATGGAAGAGTAGGCAGGCTGCACTTCTTGTACTCACGGAACAGTTCTTTGAGGATGATGCTGTACTATTGGAATTTGGTCTCAATGTTCTTGTCGGCCACGGGTGCGTTCCAAGCTGTGCGCAGGTATTCGCTGATACACCCCTCCCTCCTGATGCGCGGCCTCCCTCCTCGTCTTGGGAAACTTGTGCGGCCCGCGACTTCTGGCAATCGCGAGCGGAAGGTGCAGTATTTGGCAAACCTGCCGCGTCAAAGACAATACCCGTGCCGTCAGGATTGTTCCCTCCTTGTTCGACCATGCTTGTGAGATTGTTGCTTGCTGGCGGAGCTAGATACGGGCCATCGATGCGTCCAGGATGGGAACGTGGGACGGTAAACTGGTTGGTTGGACGAAGCAGATCCCGGAGAAGATTGATAGTTGTACGACGCAGGATTCGAGATGGCCGTTACGCCAGCGGAGGTGGACGCTGGATCGGGTGCACGACGGTGTAACGTCAGAACAGACCGATGCTGTACGCGATCGACGCGACGGCCACCCACGGACCCGAATAGTCGTTATATGCGGACTGGTAGGGAGTCCAAGGCGAGGTGCATGACTCGTACCCAGAGGCAGCATATGAACCTATGTGTCAGATGTGATCGTGAGCCGGTAGTCCAGTCAGAGCACCTGTGTCGATCGGCGGCAAACATACTGCTGTTCATCGCCGGAGCGCCAAACGTTGGCTGCGATTCGGGAGGTGGTTCAAAGTTGATTGGATTGACTCATCATGATAGGAGCAGCAGAAGTATGACTAATCCGGTGTCTCGAAGTGGGCGTTCGGTTCAGACTGCCGCAAGGTGACGGATGCTCATTGTATAGTTCGTTGCTTCGTATACGTAGTAGGGGCGATTGGACAAAGCAGAAGAATGGGCGGTATGCGCGAGCGCGACGCGTCGCCGCCATCTCCAGCGTCTCCAGAGTCGTGACGCGTCGACGTCCCGGCCAGTCCCGGCCCCAATTGTTCCGCGCGACCCGTGCCGAATCACGTGTTCGAGGTAGAGCGCCTGTTCAGCTTGCAGAGGACAACAGTAACTCTCCAAAAATCTCCAAAAATCCGAATACACTATTGTTCGCTGACTGCGCCTTTGTTCCCAGGTCTTCGATGGAGTCGTAGTGGGAGTGAACGTCTCGGCAACTCGACATCGAGGAGGGCATACCTGACCTGGGCCTAATCTGCTACCTGGGGTAGCAAGGTTGCAACCCGCCGAGATTGTGACTTGGAAGGCGCGTGGGAGGGCGCTGCGCGCGCGCTTGTTGAGGCGTACTTTTTATGTCTGCCCGAGGTGCAGAATCGCAGATGCGCGCGACCGGAAACGCTCTCACACGCTCGCGGCGCTCTGATTCGCTCGCAGCTTTTTCCCTGCGCGACAACCGACACCGAGGAGGATTGCCTTTTTACTCCGCGGTATCGATCTCATTTTCATGGCAGGAGGGCGTTTGCTCCGATTGCTGAGTCTTGATGTACTTGCAAATAGTGACAGTGTATTGGGTTGGCGGTGTGGCTGTTGAAAGCGTTCGAAGCTCAGGGCTGGGCACTCACTGCCACTCAGCTGGCTCCATTGAGTTCCAGAGAACTAGTTACAGTCAGACCTGAGAAAATTTATATCGCCCAAACTTATACCTGTCAAAATTTATGGACTTTTCAATTTCCCGACTTTTTTGGCTGACAGAACCTGTCCAATCTTATACCTTATAATTTATGGGTTTACAGGTCAAATTATAAGATAAGAGAGAGGCGGAAATGAGCGATTGATCATTGGCCTCTCCTTCGGCGTTCTTGTTGACGAGCCGCCTGCTGGAAGAGTCCGAAATGCCCCGAAACAGCCGAGAAGCGAGCACAGGAGAGCAAAGGCGGCGGTTGACAATCTTACGAACAAGTACGACCCAAGTGATATCTTCAACATGGACGAAACCGGTCTCTTCTACGCTATGCGTCCGTCTACGGGCCTTGCTCGGAACGGTCGAAATGGTGTCAAGATGAATAAGACTCGCATCATTGCGAGACATGAGACGTGGAACGACATCCGCCCCGAGACGATTGCCAACTGCTGGCGCCACGCTCAAATCTTGTCTGATCGCAAGAACAAAGGATCGACCGACCATACACCTCTTCCCAACGGTCGCGGGCCTCTCAATGGCGATCGCGGCATCATCAACGAACGATGAGCTGGTCGAAAAGGGCATAGTTACGAGCAACGAGAAGATGAGTATCCACTTTCTCGTCGATGTGGAGGAGGAGAACCTTGCTGGTGGGGCTGAAATGACCGATCAGGAGATTGTGGACCTGGTCATTGCCGAAGAGTTGAAGGAGCATTGCGAGGGAGAAGGAGGAGAGGAGAAAGGGGAGATAGAGCTCCGACCGGCGGAGCGAACGACGCTGCAGGAGGCAATCTCAGCGCTTGATGTTTTCCTTAGGTTTGCTATGAATGGAAACTCAGGTCCAACGGATTTGATTTCTTTTGAGGACGAGGCTAGGAGGATTCGCAGGACTCTTGTTGCCGAGCAGGATGCCGCGAGGATTCAGACGACAATGACTTCGTATTTCCAGCGTCAGTAGGTCAAGATATTTTTTCTTGGAGCTTTCAAAACTTGTTAGATGTCATCATGCCTTAGTAGAGGCCGTACATTGGCTGCAATTCAGTAATTCGGGCCTTCTGAATTTCCTCCCCCTCAAAAGTCAATGTATCGACTCAAACGATGCTTGAAAATTCTTGATTTGATGTAGGAAGCTCAAAAACGGAGTTTCAGGTCATAATGTAGTGATCTGAAGCCGCACTCTCCAAGCTTATACCTGTCTTAAACTATGGGAAAATCCGTCCACCGAAAATATAAATTTTCTCAGGTCTGACTGTACTCTTGAACCATGTTTTTTATTTATTTTAAAAAACAAACAAACTGAGACCTCCTCGGCACCACGATACCAGGGCACGCCTCAAAATTCATCGGCCATTCATTCGCCTGTGAAGAGGTCTGCGTACGAGGCCGAGTTCGAATTGGACTTTGCTGACCTAACTAATAAGGGTAAGTGGAGACACCGATGCGCCTAACACTAGGTCATAAGTCAACCTGACATGACCTTTCTTCACCCCCGGCGGCGCCTCCCCCTTTTGCAGCCAAAAAGATCAAGTCGGACAGCGACAATAGCAGCGCCGACTCGGACGAAGACGAAATCGGCCTCGCGGGCTTCGGACACTTGGGCGCCTGACCAATCTACTCGCTTTCTAATACATAGCTCATTTTTACCAACTGGTATAGAATTGAGATGAATGCCCTTTCGATGTTAAACTCGACCGCGCCGCGCTTGAGAGGTTCAGGGACTCGTCGCCGCCCCGCGGCGCGTCAATATATATAGAGGTAGTAATATCACCGTGCGGGGCAATTTGGCACCTGCACGCGTCGAGGCGCGTCGCGCGTGTCGCACCAACCACGGGCGGGCGAGGGCGGTCGGGGCCGGTCAGCTGGTCAGCGTCCAAGTGTCTCAGCGAAGCGCGGCCAGTCCTGCGAGCTCTCTTCCTCTGTCGGACCACATCGTATGTGCACATACGACACGCACGCCCAAACTGACTCGAGTAGTCGCCCCACCTGCCTTTCACCCTCGCTTGTGCGACTCGTGAGACGCGATGAGCACCTCACCTTCGTCGTCCAAGAAGCCCCGCCTCGACGCGCCGCCCGTGACCTCAACCTCGAACGGCGCTCTTCCCCTCGTAGCCAATCCAGCCGACGGTTTCATCCCCGACGAAGACATCGCTGCCCCACCTTCGACCCAAGCTGGAGCCCATGCCAAGCCTTTGTCGGCCTTGTTCGCGGGCGCGCATCCGGCGAGAGGGTTGTCGCAGCTCAAGTCGGCTGTTCAGAATGGCGTCAAGGGCAAGGCGAGGAACAACGACGACGATGACAAGGAGAACTTTGAGAGTATCCTCAAGGAACTGAATGAGGAAGGTCAGTTGATGAGCGTGGTATTTTTGAGGGGCACTATTCCGCAAGACTTTGCATCGGACGATTGGGATGCCCCCGCCTGCTTGGTGGTACACGGCGACACGAGCCAGCAAGCGAGTGCCGCAGACTCCGAGGCCTCTACACCAGAAACTGTTTCCTGTTCATTTTACCGACGCTCTTATCTCAATTGGGCGAATTCGAGATGCAGCAAGCCCGCACGGCTGAAAACCGTTAAATCTTCGGTGTCCGATCGAGCCCCCTAACTGACTGCTGCGTCCTCTCACGCAACCTCGATTCTATCTTTCCGTAGTGGCAACGGACTCGAGTGATCAGAAATGGAATCGACCGGCACTGCCTTCGATCGACCCAGACACCGATGCTCTGAGTTCGTCCTTTAAGCTCTGCAAATTGTGTCCAATCCGCCCACCCAAGCTGACTCATTGACCTCGAATCGGATCACAGTTTTCCAGCAGATCGAGCTCGAAGAACACGTGGTGCCCGGGACGATCCCGCAGATTCGTGCATTTGGTGTAACGCAGGTACGTCGTCGCACTCTCCTAGCAAAATCGTATCCGCTAGAGCTCATCAATACGAGATGACCACGAGCAGGCTGGGCATTCCGTGTTGCTGCATATCACGGGTTTCATGCCTTACTTTTGGATTGCTGCGCCAAAGGGGTTTGTGAATGACCACTGTGTCCCGTTGATGGGTCACCTCAATGTAAGTTCTTTGTCCGACCGTGCATCTGTTTTCGGACGCTCAACTCGAACAAAATTCAATAGGCCATGATCCCGGGTGACGCGAACCCCGTTCACTCGATCAAAGTCGCACACAAGCGCTCTTTATGGGGATACAAGGGTGATGGCACCGTACCCTTCATCAAGATCACCATCAGCGACCTGCGAGCGTACCCCAAAGTCCGAGGCGCGTTCGAGCGTGGCGAGGTCAACTTTCGGGAACTGTTCACGGGTGAAGCGGTGATGACCTACGAGAGCAACATTGCTTACACGCTGCGGTTCATGATTGATCATGGGGTACTTCACCTGTTGCGAGGCTTGTTGTCTCGTTAATGCGAGCTGACAATGTTCGTATGCAACCACAGATTGTCGGGATGAACTGGCTCGAGCTGCCGCCGGGGACATATCAAATGAAGCGACCGAGCGAAAAGGTATCAAACTGCCAGCTCGAACTCGAGACAAAGTTAGCCTGCCGATCAACTTTGCAAAACTGGGATCTCATACTCACAGCGGATCCCCTCTTTGGCAGGCACAACGATCTGATCTCGCACGCACCGGAAGGTGAATGGTCTCACATTGCTCCTCTGCGCGTCCTATCCTTCGATATCGAGTGCGCTGGTCGCAAGGGTATCTTCCCCGAGGCCGAAATCGATCCCGTCATTCAGATCGCCAACATGGTCACTCGCCAAGGCGAGACCAAACCCTTCATCCGCAACGTCTTCACACTCAACACGTGTTCGCACATCGTCGGCACGGACGTGATCGAATTCGAGAAGGAGGCCGATCTACTGACGAGGTGGCGCGAGTTTGTCGAAGAGGTTGATCCCGACCTTATCATCGGGTACAACATCTCGCAATTCGATCTGCCTTACCTCATGGATCGAGCCAAGGCGTTGAAAGCGACCAAGTTCCCTTACCTCGGACGACTCAAGAACGTCAAGAGTGATGTCAAGGACACCCACTTTTCGTCAAAGGCGTACGGCAACCGAGACAACAAGGAGACAACGATCGATGGTCGACTGCAGCTCGATATCCTGCAGGTCATGCAGCGTGACTACAAATTGCGAAGTTATACGCTCAACTCGGTGTGCGCTCATTTCCTCGGTCAGTTGTTGTCTGCGGGTGCAGATGTCTTTGGATGAGCTTGGAGGATCCTGAACGAATTTCCTTCGTGTCCCAGGCGAGCAAAAGGAGGACGTGCACCATTCGATCATCACGGACTTGCAGAACGGTAACGCCGAGTCTCGACGTCGTTTGGCCGTGTATTGTCTCAAGGTGCGCATGTATTCCACCGGAAACGAGAAGCTGGCCATCGGAACTGACGCCCTCTCGCACCAGGATGCGTATCTGCCGCAACGAATCATGGACAAGCTAATGTGCTTCATCAATTACATCGAGATGGCTCGTGTGACGGGAATTCCTTTCAACTACCTCTTGTCGCGCGGTCAACAGATCAAGGTCATTTCGCAACTCTTCCGCAAGGCCCAGGACACGAACTACCTCGTCCCGGCGTTCCGGTCCGAAGGCTCGGACGAGCAGTACGAAGGTGCGACCGTCATTGAACCCGAAAAGGGCTATTACGATGTGCCAATCGCGACCCTCGATTTCGCTTCGCTGTACCCTTCGATCATGCAAGCGCACAACCTGTGCTACACCACCTTGCTGGATGCCAAAATCGCCGAGGCGCTTAACCTCAAGGAGGGCGTCGACTACGTCAGGACCCCCAACAACGGTCGGTCCTCCCTAATCTACCCGATTTCTCTCGCCAGATACTGACGATCTCAACGCCTTCTGCTAGATCTCTTCGTCAAGTCCGAGAAGCGTCGTGGCCTGCTCCCCATCATTCTCGAGGACCTGCTGTCGGCGCGTAAGCGCGCCCGAGCCGAGTTGAAGAACGAAACAGACCCGTTCAAACGTGCTGTGTTGGACGGTCGTCAGTTGGCGTTGAAAGTCAGTGCCAACTCGGTGTACGGCTTCACGGGAGCGACGGTCGGCAAATTGCCCTGCTTGCAGATCTCGATGAGCGTCACCGCGTACGGGCGACAGATGATTGAAAGGACCAAGCAGGAGGTGCAGGATCGGTACAACACCGCGAATGGGTACGAGTACGATGCGACCGTCATCTATGGTGATACCGATTCGGTCATGGTTCGTTTCGGGTGCCCGGACTTGGAGACAGCAATGAAACTAGGTGAGTTTGTGTTTGAACGAGCTTCCGAAGCTATGCAGAACACCTTCTGAAGTGATTGTTAAACCCTGATGACTCTAGGCGCAGAGGCCGCCGATTTCGTTACACAAAAGTTCGTCAAGCCGATCAAGCTCGAGTTCGAAAAGGTCTACTTCCCATACCTCCTCATCAGCAAAAAGCGCTACGCCGGCCTGTACTGGACCAAGCCGGAAAAGTACGACAAGATGGATACGAAAGGTATTGAGACCGTTCGTCGTGACAATTGTCGTCTCGTCGTGACCGTCATCGAAACATGTCTCAAGAAGATGCTCATCGATCGAGACGTCAAGGGAGCGGAGGAGTACACAAAGCAGACGATCTCGGACCTGCTGCAGAACAGAGTCGATCTTTCGCAACTCGTCATCACCAAAGCACTCGCCAAGGCCGATTACGCCAACAAACAGGCCCACGTCGAGCTCGCGGAACGCATGAAGAAGCGTGATGCCGGATCGGCCCCGGCGTTAGGAGATCGAGTCGCGTACGTGATCATCAAGGGGACCAAGGACGCTCGCGCGTACGAGAAATCCGAGGACCCGCTGTATGTGCTCGAGAACAATATCCCGATCGACACCAAGTACTACCTCGACAACCAACTGTCCAAGCCGTTAATGCGTATTTTTGAGCCGATTCTGGGGGAGAAAGCGAGCTCGTTGTTAACCGGTGATCATACTCGCATTGTGTCGATCGTGGCACCGACGTCGGGTGGGTTAATGAAGTTTGCTGTACGCACGATGACGTGTCTGGGGTGCAAGACGCCGCTCAAACCGAATCGACCGAGTGAGTTAGGATCCAAAGTGTCGTTACCTCGACGTGCCCCCCTGATCCTTGCTCCCGAACGCTCTCCTTCAGACAAAGCCGTCTGCGAAAACTGCGCGCCTCGCACGGCCGAGCTGTACGCCAAACAGTTGAACATCACCACCGCGCACGAGACCGCCTATGCACGCTTGTGGACGCAATGCCAACGTTGTCAAGGGTCTCTGGTGCAGGATGTGCTCTGCACAAGTAAGGATTGCCCCATCTTTTACATGCGCAAAAAGGCACAAAAGGATGTGGCGGAAAACGTTTCCGTGCTTGATCGCTGTGAGTACCTCTTTTATGGATTTGGAGCAGCAGCAGCTGATCCTCTTTTGACCTTGACGTCACAGTTGATGGTACTTGGTAGAAGTGGCATTCGCAAAAAGCGTGAATTGTGTTTCCGAAGTCCTCTCCGACGCCGCCTCACTGTACGAGCTTGCTGTAACTATATCGTATCGTTTTCATCGATTATCCGCACAGAAAGAGAGTGCGCTTATCTTCCCAACATGGAAGAAGGTCAATGAGATACGCCATGATCGTGAATATTTTGTTACACTTCACAACATGTCGTCACGTTTCTTCACGTTAGACCGTGAAAGTCATTTCAAAAGGAGGCGCTGACACGGCGATGGTCATCGCCGTAACATTGTGGGTCAAAGGGCTAAGGAGCCGCAGATACCGCATCTCCAGTTGCGCCTTGGCCGCTTCCGTAACCCTGTAGCGGAGTAGTAGTCGTCGTTGTCCCCTTCTTGTTCCGCGGCGGCAGAGGCACGGCTTCCATATTGGGCAGATCGCCAAACAAGTCCTCGAGATCCTGTTCTGCCGTTCGTGAGGTTGATGATGATACACGATTAGTGCTCTCCCTCTTGTCGGTACTCCTCCCTTGTCTTTGACTCGATTCCTCCGCCCCAGTAGGTCCCTCCCTTCCCACCGCCCTCTCCCTGTCCTTGACACTCGATCGGACCGCTTCGAGCAACTGCTCCCCTCTTGCAACGTACATCTCCAAGCGGGTCACTTGTTCCCTCGATGCCAGCAAATCGGCTTCCAGTGAATCTCGGAACGTCGTCAGATCCCTCAGAGACAAGGCGTGCACAGGGGTGTCGAGCGCCGAGGCGTGCGAACGGGTGTGCGTGTGTGGCCGAGCGGGAGCGAGGTGATGGTGGTGAGGGTGCGCGATCGTGTGTGAATGCGCATGGGCGTGGCTATGCTTGTGGGCGTGGTGGGCATGTGCATGGAGATGGGAGGCCAACGGAGCAGCCGGATGGGCGGCGAGAGGAATGGTCGACGTCGAAGGGGACGGCGTAGCCGTTTCGGCTCGATCCGCCGGCGGAGCCAAGAAAGAAACGGCAGCCACAAGATCGGGAAGACTGTGCCCCAGTGGACTGTTGGCCGTCATCGCCACTGACATCGCGGTATCCTCCGATCCATCTTCGCTCACGCCGCTGCCGAACGAGGTTTCTCCGTTCACCGTGTTCGGGGAGGAAAGCCGCGGCTTTTGCTTCGTCGTCTTGCGACGTTTCGGGGCCGGAGGGGTCGATTTCTCTTCGACTTGGGGTTTGTCTCCATCCACATTGACATTGACCGCCATATTTGCCACTCGATTTGGCTGCGAGATCACATAACCGAGCTGCAATCTCAGCAATGCGATCCCATTCAAGCCTGACAGAGCCAATGTGGGAGGAAGATGAACACTTACGATGGGTACGCGGCGCCTGCGTTTGATGGTCATTTTCTTCAGCAAGACTGGTCTTTGTGTCCCGTGTAGCTTGTAGTAGAGGCCTGATCGGAGGTGAGCCGATGTCGAGGTTCGGCGATCGAGAGCGGATAGCGCACACGAGTTAGATGAAGGCGGCCGGATTGTGAGGAACGAGACGAAGAGGTCAGCTTCATTTGGTCCACATGGCCTTGCAACGCCAAAGTTGAAGGAACGACGAAGGCGAATGCATCGGCGGTGCGGAGCAAGGCGAGAGCGAGAGGAAAGTTCGGGGACTGATTGCGGCTCGTCGCGACGGCTCGCCGCGAAACGAGCGCATTCGCGCAGCTGGCGCACCACTTGCGATCTCGTCGCTCGGGGCCCGCTGCCTCCTTTCCTCCCACCACTCCCGCCGGTGCAACACCACCCATGGTAGACACGCCGCTGAATGTGGCCAGGGAACGATATACTCACCACATGCGTTGCAAGCCACTCGGCCTTCCCCGTCGCGTCTCCAAAGTGGCGTCGTTCCTGGAGGACCAGTAGAACCAAGACAAGGTGGACGGTCAACTCCACAGTTCGATCGTGTAGGCATATCACATGCATCGCCACTCACGAGTTTGACAGTTGAAACACTCCATCGCGGTGACTTCCCCACTTGATTCGACCCCGTTCATTGAGCTCTCTTCGCCTGGGTTCGCCGGTGCGGTGGTGTGGTCGTGCGCTAAAGTTGAGGACGTCGCAGACTTGCTCGAATGCATCACACGATTGTTGAACGCGGGGCATCCTTGGCAGCACGACTGCCCACCCGAGCCGTTGCAGACTCCCCCTCCCGGGCAGGAACCCGACGGAGGATCGTGCGCAGCCGTCGCTGACGTGGAACCCCCGAGCGCTCGAGCGGACGACGAGGGTGTCGTAGCAGTGGAAGATCGAGACGACTTGCCCGGTGCCGAGTGAGGGGAGTGGGGAATTAAAGGGGAGCCTATCCCCGAGTCGTCAGTGGGCAGCGATCCCGTTGCCGCCCCTGGAGTGGGAGGAGTTCGTAGCACCGAGGCCTGGGTGGAGGGTGATCCGACTGCTGATATAGATGCGTTGGATGTAGCGCTTGCTAGGGTCGGCCTCGAAGAATCACCCGCGTGAAATTCTGCAGATCCTGCGCCGGAGGGTCGAGGTCCGGCTCGGGATTTGAGGTAGAGTCCTGGCGTGTGCAACGCGGAAATACGTCAGGGTGTGCGATATTGGACTTCACGAACCAGAGGAAGAAATGAGAACATACCGCAGGCGTTACAGATTGGGTTGCCATCCTGGTCTCGTCTCCAGAGAGGGGTCTGGGTCGTTCCGCAAATGAAGCAATCATTTCCCGCCTTTGTGCTGGGCGATGCCGAAGTAGCCGAGGCGCTTGAGATGTTGGAAGCCCTCGACGAGGGTTGTCGATGAAGCGGATGAGGCGCTGTAGTCGTCGGTTGGGTCAGAATGGCCTCGGTCGACGGTGGTGGGCGAATCGCCGAATGTTCGATCGACGACCTGGGCGAGGCTTGCGTCGGCGCGTGCTGATGTGGTGTGTTTGTCGAATTGACACCGGTTGAGGTCCTTGAAGATTCCGGACTCCAGCGTGGCGAAACCCCCGTCGTCGAAGTGGACGATTGTGAAGGCGAAGCCCCTTTTGCCCGCGCTTGATGATGATGGGTCATCGCATCGCGAGCAGCACCCCTTGCGCCGTTCGTCCACGAGCTGAGCGAAGGTAGCGCAAAGGGTGACTTGGAGCGTACGGTCAAGGGGACTCGATCGTGTCTTGGCTCAGACGAAGGCGTTGCCCGGGTCGATCTTGCAGTACTACTGCTCCTGCCCGTGAGACCGGCCGCGTCCGCGCTCGAGGTGATGCCCGATGAAATCGCACCGTCGTCGCTCGAGCAGGGGCGTGAGTCGCCGTGGCTGGATGCAGGACCCAACAGGTTCTGCAGCGACGTCATGACGACGTCTGGTACGCTGGGCTGTCCACAAGTGTGGAGAGGGGATGTGCGTGGTGCGAGACAAGAGTGAGCTGAGGGCTTCTTGCCCCCGCGACTGATGCAGGAGGCGATCAGTTGCGCCGTGTTCTCCGGTAGGCACGCCGAGTCGCCGATCATTCAATCGACCGCCAACCCGGACGCTCGGAGTTGGTGCAAGAGCTACAATACAGTTCATGTGCATCTCCTACCTCTGTGTTGATACATTACCTCGCTCAGGAGCCTCTCCCTGGGGTGAAAATCGCACTCGTGGTACAGCGAGGCGTCGCAAGCGAAATTCAGGCAGCGTCCGTCGTGACCAATCAGCGCGTTCCTAATTCGCCGCCCTCGGCGCAATTTCAAATTCGCGTCAAGTGCGTCAGCCCGACGGGCGTCGACAGCTCGAGGCTGCAGTCATCGGAAATTACTTCGGCGCGTTCTGGACATTTCATGCCCGTCTCCTGTCTATGTATATGCCCCACATCTCAATGAGAATGCGTTCCAAACGGTCGGCGTTGCATGGTGCAGCTACACCGACGCCTGCTCTGATAATACGGGCCATTAGAGCGCAAGGGAGCTCTTTTTGCGACTCCTCCGATCACTCCTTCTTGTTCGCCTTGGCCGCCTCTCGCTCCCTCTTGCGCAGCACCCGTTTGCGGATGTCGATATGCAATCGGCGGTTGTATCCGAGCCAGAATGAATGCGACATGAGGTTATCGACGACCCACTTCGAAAGTGAGAAACAAGATGCAGCCGAGGTCGTCAGCGTCGGGGGTCGAAAGTGCTCGGCCCAGAGAACCACCTACTTGGACGGGGGCATGACCGTGGTAAGGCGTCGAGATGTGAGGCTGCCCAACAGCCCCACCATTGACACCGATATGCGATAAGGCCGATCCTGTAAAGAGTGGAGAGTAAAGACGAAGAACTCTTAGATCCAGATATTTTTCCACCGTCGACGGCAGCGCAGGAATGCTGACGACTTACGAACATAGGTTTTGGGAGTGGGGACCATCCAAGAGCTCTTACGAATCTTGCTCAACTTAGACGTCTGTGCAAAGAAGAAGGCTTCACTGTCAACTCCAGGTCTCTTTGATTCGATTCGGCCGCTTGACCCTGCACTCACGATGAAGTAGGCGTTGAGAAGCTCGACCTCGACACCCGTTCCCTTCAACTCGCTTCCGAGAGCTTGCGACCAGGTCGAAACGAAAGCCTTGCTTGCCGAGTAGACGGCTAACAAGGGAGAAGGCACGAGACCGGCGAACGAGCCTACGGTCAAGATCAGTCCGCGCCTGCGGGAGATCATGCCGGGCAGCACCAGCTTGGTCGTCTTGAGGGTCGCATTGCTGGGGATGACAGATCGACCCAAGCACTCAGTTTTCGTGGAGGTTCATGATTGAACGATCTAAGTGAGCGAAGTACGCACATGTTGATCTCGATGATGTCGGCCGAATCTTGATCGGGCAGATCTTGGAAGAACATGGGTTCGTCGTAGCTCTTGCCCACGTTGTTAACTGCAGGGACACACACAAATCAGCCTCGGTCCAAAGCTGTGTACTTTCCGCCGGCTTTACGCACTCAAGACACCGACTTCAAGTGATTCGAGAGCCTTGCCGAAAGCCTTGTAGTCCTCGGACGAAGCCGAAGCAAAGTCGATTGCATGAACCTGGGTCTTGATCGAGGGGAACTTGGAGGCTACAGGCAATCAATTAAGACATATGAGCCGGCTCCCCATGTATGATGATGGGGTGTCGACACTACTCACTGATCTCTTGGCTGATCTCTTCGAGCTTGGAAGCCGTCCTCGAAGCGAGGAAGACGTTGAAGCCAGCAGCGGCCAGTTGGAGCGCAAAGTCGCGTCCGATCCCGGCGGTCGCACCGGTAACAACTGTACATAGGTGAGAGACGTCAGTGCGGATAAGCCAGTCAGAATATGAGGGCATGTCTGCATCTCTTACCTGCCCACGCCCCTTTCTTGGCTCCGAAACGCGTGAGCTGGATCGAGTGTGGGGTGACGAGTGACGCGTGACGCTTCAGGGTGGAGCTCTGCTGTGGTGCATGCGAGGTACACGTGAACGTACGGGAAGACCAGGACGGGAAAGATCGACGATCATGCGCACAAAGCTGAGGGCATAGCTTCCTAGCCACGCAGCTCCGACGAGCGCAAAGAAGAAGGTCGTCAAGGTGCACTCGTTGGCTGAAGAGTGGACGATGTCCCCAAGCGCCAAGGTCAGACCGAGCGTCCTCTGCGGGAGCTCCTGAACGAAGAGTTGCTCACCCCATCCTAGAGCAGTCGCTCGTGCGGCATCGAGAACCATGGCGAGTGAAGCGTATCGAGTGCGATGCAGAGCGTCGGAGCGAAAGCAGAGGCGACAAGCTCGAAGAAGGACATTGGGTTGCTGACCGAATCACCGAGCCACTCAGAGGACTCAGAGCCACTCTCGCAGACTCGGAGGCACAATTTATGCCGGGCTACTGTTCTTTGCCGTGGCAAGATTGGGTCTCAATAAAAGTATAAGATTTTCCTTGACCTTGAAATGAAATTGTCGATGAAGACCCAGAACACGGCACCCACAGGCCGCCAGTGCCATTAGGACGGCCCCGAAACCATCGGCGGGGCATCGGCGACACCGCCGGGCTGTGGCAGCTGAATCATCCAAGGTCCACTCGTCTGAACACCGACTTACACTCAAGAATTTGGTCTCCAAATCCGCAGTGGTGTAAACGATATGATTTCTCATTCATCCCCGTGTTTTCGATCGCAATTTTGCCAATTCAAACCTCGCTGAGCACCCACTGCACTGGCACAGACCTGCACAGACCTGCACAGACTGGCCCCACCCGGCACGTGCGCCTTCCTCCACCCCATCTCGCAGCTCGCCTCCGTCCCTCCGACTCGCCTTCGATAGCTACGTTCACCCTCAGGCAAGCGCCACAAACCCAATGTCGAGCCATTCTTCGACCGATATGTCAACGGTCATTCAGTTCGCCTGCACGGCCGACGAAGACGGTGCTGTGCCCTTTCCCTTCTGTCAGCTCGCGGACAACTCGGCTGAGCTGCACGTTCGACCCGTGCACGTGACGCTCAAAGACATTCGACCGTCCTTGCAAGCGGGACAGAGGCCTACGTTGGATGTACAAGGATTTGAAGTCATTGATCACGTGTACCCCGGGTTGCAAGAGGATATCGATGACGTTTGGATGGCCGAGTACGAACGACAGATGGAGCGCGTGAGTGAGGTCATCACGTAGAACTTGAGCTCATCAACGCAGCAGCGATGATCGTCCGCAAGCTCCGCAAGTTCCGCAAAGTTCCCCAAGTTTCGCAAGTTCCCAACTGATCATGCGGTCCGACCTCGAACATGCAGCTTTTATGCCAGCACCTCAAGGCTCGCAGGGTGGTTTCCTTTGCCGGGGTCGCCGTCCGTCGTCGCAACCCCGAGCTCGATGACGCTCCTATCGATACGGAGAACCTGCAGCCCTCCGCTGGGGCCCACGTCGACGGCAACACCCAGACCGGCCGCGAGGTGTGCACCAAGGTGTTGGAACTGAGCGATGAAGAGGCCGATACGGAACGATACGCCGTGATCAACTTGTGGAGACCGCTCCGAGGACCTTTGGTAGACGCCCCTCTCGCGCTCTGTGACACTCGCACGACGGGGTCCGCAGACATTATCCCGACCCTAGACTTTTATGGACCAGGAAGCTACATCAAATACTCTGGTTAGTGTTCCCACTAGCCTGCACGTATTTGATGGGTCCCTCCATCTGATCGCTGACACTTTAGCTCGCCACGATCATCCCGCGCTCGGCCGCGCCGAACAGATCGGCAGCAGTGGTATTACCTCCGCGACATGATGCCCGACGAGGCACTGCTGTTCCGTTGCCAAGACAGCACGATGCGTGAGTGCCCGTGCGGCCCCGTTTGAGCCACACGGTCGAGCTGAACATCTGAGAAATGAGACCGCCCCCACAGATCCGGACAAGGGAGGCATCACACCTCACACCGGAGTCTGGGATGAAGAGCGACGCAATGACTCGTACCGGCAATCCATCGAGGTCCGATGCGCGGTTCTGTACTGAAACGTGTCAAGTCGAAAGCCACCCGTCCACAAGCAATATACTTATCATCTCGCAAGCCTGCATCCGCATCCATCTGTGACCTTGATATTCTCTCGTTTGCGATCTCGCCTACGAACCTCGTATGTTTACTTGTCTGATTGTGATTAATTGGATCATTGCGCCTCCGTGTATGAGAGGATAGTTTCGCGGAACACCACAAAAGTATAATACTGAGACCGTTTCTTGCGCTACGTCGGTACAAAATACTTACCCCGAGCCAAGCCATGCCATACGCGTAGATGAAAGCAGCGTATTCTTTTTTGGTACTGATCAAACCCCACAATGTCGGACCGCCGCCAACACAATCGGCTCTTCGTCTTGACCCCCACCCCCGGGGAATCGCCTAATAACGAAAGGAAACTGCACCTGCACCCACCCAACGTTCTGTTCCCGTGCAAAGCATCGTGTCCGGCGGCCCCTCGTCGACTGAATTCGGCCCGTATGATCCGATCCCCGATCGCGTGTATTTCTGAAAATCGAGGGGGCGAATGACGAGTCACGACAATTCGAGAGAGGCAGCAAGGCTATCGCTCCTGCAAGGCCGAGGCGGAGCTGACAGCGTCGAACGTGTACGCCGAGTACGCCAGGAAAGGCGAAGGGCCCGAGCCCACTTGATCATCCATCTGGTCTAATTGAGCCGGGCCCCGCACGTAGTCCTGCTGCTGCTGCTGTTGCTGCTGATGCGCGGAGCCGGCATATCTTTGAAAAGTCTGTGCCGGTTGGGGATGCTCATATATCGACGATTGGTACTGTTGCTGGTACTGCTGCTGAAGTTGTTGCTCCTGTTGTTGCTGCTGCTGAACCTGTTGCTTCTGTTTGGCCACCGTTTGCCGGTGGGTTTCCGCTTCGTGCCGGGCCACAGCCTGCGCCTCTTGCTTCTCCACTTTCTTCTGAGCTCGTGCCCGCGAGGGTTTCGGCGTGAGCGTGTGCATCTTCCTATGGTCGTCACGGGTAAAAGAAGAATGCCGCCACCCGGAATATTCGTGCGTCGAGGTGATGTCAAGTTTCGAGATGAGCTCCGACGGCGACAGGCGAGCGAAGCCGTAGACCTGTACGGCCGGAAATCGCACAATGAACCGAATGCAACGTCAGTCACGGTCACGATGATACGGACAATGTTTTTCAAAGCATAGTAGACGTAGACCGTCAACACAAAGACGCAGCAAGCGGTAAACGCCGGAGTAAGCGCGGCAATACCCGGAGCGAGCCGAGCTGCGGAGAAAGCACGCCAAGCGTCCTGGGACCGACACCTCCGCGTATTGTGGACGGTCTTCCGACCACGTAACAATTCCACTCACGTTGAGTTGCCGAGTAAACGCGTGCAGACTCGAATGCTGGTAGAAGCTGGGCAAGACCTCGGAGAGCAGCCTGGGTTGGGCGTGGCAGACGATGAACGAGGTGCCCGAATCACTACACAAGATAAAAATTCGAGAAAAAAGAATGCGGTGTCAGTACTTGTCAAACGGCATTCCCGAAAACTTCTATCGCCAATGGTCTGCACGAAAGCTCCCGGGCAAGGCGGCAACCTGTCGATTAGGAGTTCCGGATCCCGAGGCCAGCGCCACGATGCCAGACGATCACGCCTAGGTCGGAGCCGACGGCCGGGGCCAACGGAGGCGGAGGGGCGAGCAGAACACGGGGTCCAGAGAAGCGAAGGTAAGATTGAAAACGGAAAACTCACTCCCAGACCATACAATCTTTGAAGCTGCACGGATGGGCGGCGATACGATATGGGGGTACACGGGCTTCGACGTCAGCGAGTGTGCTGCGGAACTCCGTACGGGCCTCCAATGTCAGCGCTCGAGTGAAGACGGCTCACTATTCGGGATGGGACAGCAGATATTCGAGCTTTGCGATGAAAGGTTTGACGCGTGGGACAGATGCAGTAGGGTCGTTCGTGGCCTGCAAGATGCAAAACGATGCGGAGAAACACGAGTCGAGCAAAAGGTCAGCGATATGCCCTCGAGTGGCTGACATCACCACCACGCTCGAGCACGGGTGTTCGCGCGTCGCGTCCAACACAGGTCGAGGAGGGCACGATGTCACATTAAAACATGGCGTCGAGCCACCCCGTGTTGTTCGTGATGTTGCGTGTCCAGCCTCGCGGGAGTGGTCCGCCGCTCGAGCATGCCCCGCCAAGTCGTTCAAGCAATTCACCTCTGCGGTTTCGAGCTGATTCGGCGAGACAAAGTCGGATTTTTCGGATGGCGATTGGGGTCCACCGCAGGACAAAGAAGACTCCACCAGGGAACCAGGAGGAGAAGCTAACGAGGACGCCGTGTTGGACATGCTCATCTCGAGCAAATCGCCAATGGTCATCTCGTTCCCGGAACGTAGCGCGGTCACGACGGCCGAACTCAACATTGCAGAGTTTCGACCTTGCGGAGTTTGTTGTAGCTGGAACGAGACCCTACGATCCGATGGGCCAGCACTTGATGTATGTGGGCGCGGACTGGTCTCGCCGACGCTCAAGCCCGGGTACGTCAAATCTTGCGGTACGGAGCGTGGCTCGCCCGTGAGGGGATCCCAATTATACCGACTCGATTCGACGGCATGGTACAGCTGGGCGTGGTGCGCGGTGAGTTGCGGTTGGTGCAACTGAACAAAGGACTTGTAAGGTGGGTCGAATCGGCCTTGCAACGTCGTCGTGGTCGAGAGGGCCGGCAGCGGAGGCCGAAGGTGTTTAGCCGGCGCCTCAAGGTGGAGCTGCTGTGGCTGCTGCACGCCGCCGAACGGCGGGTGCTCTTGTTGCCCGTACGCCAGAGACGGGCTGCAGCGAGGATCGAACGTGTCGCAGCTGCCCGAATACGAATGCCGTGGGTTCGAGGTGGCACTGGTCGAAGTCGAGTCTCCTTCCGAGATGGAAGCCCCGGACGGCGTGGAAGACGAGGTTGTGAACGACGACGATGACGACGACGACGAGGCGCCCGGTGCCGCCACCGCCACGTCCGGAGCTTGGCGTTGTCGCGGTGAGTCGGTGTCGGCGGTCGACCTCTGTAAGCCAGTGCCACCGTCGTCACCACCTCCACCGGACATGGTCACGTTCGTGTTGACGCCAGTGGCTGCTCGAGCCAGCTCCGCGGTGATACTGTACTCCTCTGCGAACACGCTTGCGTCGGAACGAAAGAAACTCAGAGCTCGACGACGACGAGAACCACTGGACGGGTCTCGAACGCGAGCTGAAGCGAGCATCCCGCTTCGCCCAAGCCGCCACGCCCGAGCCGCACCTCGCCGAGCCGCCGTAACCACTCGGCACTCGCGGCGGGCGCGGATTTTGGGATTTTTGCATGCGGAATGCACAAAGCCAAAAATAGGCACACGACATGAGCTTAAAATTCCGATGTAATCCGTCGGCGCCAAGAAGCAAAGAATTAGACACAGGGGGCCGATGCGAAAAGCATATCTTCCTGTAAAGAAGACGTTCTGTTGCAGTGTCTGGAGGTTTTCTGCCCAACGTACCTAACCCACGAAGCTCCTCCGCGTGATTTCCAAGATCGGATGGGGCATTGGGCACAACGTGGTCGGCCCAGACTGGAGTGGTCGAGACTCCCCTTCGACGCCGTAGCACCCTTACACACCATTAATGAAACCAAGACCATTGGCTCTGAAACTAATTATATCACCTGTATCTACTAGGCTCTCGGTGTCTACCTACCGACTTTTCCGAAGATTTCTAGGTATCTACATCTACATAAAATAATGCACGACTTAAAATAAGGTTCTCAGCCGCGCGCGCCGATCTTTCCCCCCCCCCCCCCACGGTCCGGGAGGTGCGGGCGGAGCTCGCAACGACCTTCATTTACGCAGGGGGCGCGGAGCGCCCCCCGAGCCCTAGATAATATAATTATGCTCTTAATGAAGTCTATCAAATTTAAAAATTAAAAAACCCAGGTAGGTAACGTGCGCGTGCCCCTACGAAATGGTACAATCGACCCTAGAGGGAGGGATCTCGCCTATGCTTATTGCGACTCTTATAGATTCGGGGATCTTGGCTGCCCCCGCGTGCACTCGAACAAATTGAGGTGCAATGCTCTCTTATCTCTCGTGCCTGCTAGAACTGTTATGAAAGCAAAACTCGTTACTGCAGAAGATGCGAAGATGTTACAATGGGGTGTGCGCAATCGGCGGACGGCCTCCGAGTCGGCCAAAGAGGATTCGCCGAGGAAGGGTCCAATTCAAAGCTAGCATGTAGAGCCATCGGCGTCGCTCTGGGCTCTTTTACCTCATTCACGCGGGACTGGTACTCTTATTACTACTTTTTAGGACGCTTCTTGACCTCCTCCTCGGTGCAGGTGTGGATGCAGACTTTGTTGGGATGGTTCGGCACTGGACGAAGGAATAGCTCGGGGGGGGGGTCAGCACAACAGATTTTCCTTCCGAGACCGAGACTAAAGTCTCGTGAAATCGAGATTCCGGATTAGGACAACTCACCGTTTCCGTTGTGACCTTTCGACCTGCAGAGCAATGGGATGAAGAAGAGTCCGTCAGATGTCGGTAGAGCATACGGTCTCCGGGGTCTCCGGCCGGCAGCAAGAGCTGCGAAGCGCAAGTCGTGACGAACCAGTCGTAAGAAATTGCATCTGCCAAGTATTGAAAGCATCCCGTTCAGCGAGCATGATCGGAAGGCTGGTAAGTAGTGTAGCATGCACGTACAAGCCAAGTACTGCCCCGTCCGACTAAAGTCGGTCGCTGTGACCGAGCCCTCGTTCAAGGTCCACGTCTTTAGGCGCGTCCTCGAGGTATGATCCCACATGCTGTGAACAAAGGAGCACGCTCAGCACCCAGGACAAAAGACTGCACATGATGACGTCATCATAGGACGCACTTGATCACCCCGTCAGAACCTGCTGTGGAGAATGTTCCGAGGGGATGGAACGAGATTTCGTTTATCGCGTAGACCGACTGACTGCCCGTTTTGAACCCGGGCGTTTTCTGCGTCGAACGAAGATTTGACGGCGATCATTTCAGTATACACCATCCTATCCCGGGTTTCCCCTCCATACCGTATTTGGCGACGTACCGAAATATCGGCTCGGTGGCATTTGAAGGAAAAGTTGTTGGAGCTCTTGGCGTCGTCGACGTACTGAATCGCGACACGGCCCTCGACACTCGTGATCGCGTACCCGTCACCGTCGGGGAAAGTCGCCAAGGATCTCGTCTGCATCTTCAACGGCGAGGTCATTGTTTTGAAGGGTGTTGTGGGTTGGTCTGGTAGGTCGAAGGGAGAGAGTCGGGGTTTCCACGCTCAGGGGAGCCTTTGAAAACAAAAAGCCTAGAGACCGGGAACGCACTGAGGTTGAAGATGAGGCAGTGTCGTTCAGCCGTTCCGACGACCATGAGCGGATATGTCACGTCCAGGGCTAGGTGAAGAAGCGTCGGTCAGGTAGCACAAAGACAGGGGTCCGAGGATGAATCAGCTCGAGTGTGCTCGCGCACCAATCACCGAGTGCTCGACTGACTGTAACATCGCTCTGGTAGTTGCACCTGCGCCGCTGGCGTGGGTTGTCGCATATCCCAATACCGCAATGTCTGCGCGCGGCGTCGCACAAGATGGGAGGTGAGTTAGCTGATCCCGTCGAGAGCCAACGCGGGGGTGCGGCTGCAGTGGAGAGCCAACGAACCTTGTCCCAGGACCCGGTGACGACCATCGGTGAGCCGGGTATGTCGAGCCACTTGACGCATCGTATTGGGGCGTCGTGGGCCGCGAACTGGGTGGTCTGACCGGTGGCCAAGTCATAGACCCGACCCGCGCTGTCGGCTCCCCCGGAGACGATCTTGGTGCCGTCCTTACTCCACGCGACGTCGAGCACGGGCCCTTCGTGGGTGTACTGGGACCTCCCTTGGTTCTGCCCGTTGGGTCCGACCTCGAAGATGCGCACTTGGTTCGACCAGGACCCGACGGCGAGCAGGTCCGCGGCGGGTGACCACGCCAGCGCCGAGATGCCATCGGTCTGGGTGTTTTGCACGACCGCATCCGGTTGGTCGGGTGGCTTCACCGCTCCAAACATACTCATAATGGCAGAGAAAGGGAGGCTCGACGAGACGCGGGGGAGAGACGAGGACGGGGACGGTGCAGGTCAGGTGAGGAGGTGGAGGTGGCGAGGTGGAGCCGCGCTCGGACTGATTTGAGGCAGTTTTGAAAGGCGGTTTGAGCAGGTTTGAGCACGCGGAGGCACGCGAGCGCGGTGCCGGCATCGGAAATGAAAGAATGGAAGCAGTATGAAAGTGAAAGCACCAATCTCAACTTTCTCAACTCTCCCCACTTTGCGAACGGACAACGCGCCGGATCTCCCTCTGCGCCCTACCACCCACCGCCCACCGCCCACCGCCCACCGCCCACCGCCCACCGCCAGGATGGTGTCGTCGAGCACATCACGGAATACGGGCAGGACACCATGTCGAGTACGGCTGCCCCGCGCTCGGACAGGGCTGCTCCGGCTGCTGCTCGCCGCGGTGGTGCTGAGCGCGTTCGTGTTCGTCGCGGTCGAGGGCAAGGGCAAGGGCAAAACCGGCAAGAAGGCCGCCGCCAAGGCCAAGGCAGCAGCTGCAGCAGCAGGAGGCACCATCGTAGCCAACACCGCCAAGAGTGGACCGCCAAAGTCCAAGCGAGGCAACACGGAAAAAACAGTGCCGTTGAGGACCCATTCTCTCTATGCGCGTACGTGCGCCGAGCCTGTCCCCATCTGACGTGGCCGTGATGGTCAGCGCAACCGCAACCTCGGCTGCCGTGATCACGAGCTGCTGTGGACCATGCGACGCAGTGCGTTCCATATCACACACTCTGACATTGTGCTTTGTACGTTCCATGACCCAGCCTATGTCGACTCGGACCTGCAGAACCGCTGGTTCGACTTTGGCGGCTCGACCATCATCAACACGAACAAGCACGTACGGCTCACGCAGGACCGTGCATCCCAGGCCGGATGGCTATGGTCGCGTCTCGCGCTCGCGCCCAACTCGTTCGAGGTCGAGTTCGAGTTCAGGGTCGACGGCAAGAGCTCGACGCTGTACGGTGATGGGCTCGCCATGTGGTTCACCAAGGCCCGTGCCGGGACCGGGCCTGCGTTTGGCAGTGCCGATTATTGGGACGGCCTCGGCATCTTTTTCGATACCTAGTCAGTGTTGCCCCCCATTTCGGTGCGATACCACGGCGAACTGACCCTTTCCTCTGCATGACCTGCGCAGCGCCAACTCGAGGCACTCTTACTCGTTCCCTCGAATCTACGCCATCAAGAACGACGGCACAAAGGCCTATGAGGTCGGCAAGGATGGGCAGAGCCAAGAGATTGGAGGGTGCTCGGTGAGTGGGAAACGTCAAGGTGTGATGCCCAGGTGGCTGCAGTACGTGGTGGCTGATGACGACACCGAACATTGGCGACTCCGAACATCAGCTCGACTTCCGAAGAACAGACGTGACCGCCAAAGCTCGCTTCACCTACTTCCGCGGCAAATTTACAGAGGTCAGTTCTCTGAACGACTCTGGAATGAATTCAGTCAATAAAACCGATGATTGAAACGTGCAACGTGCCTCGTTCCCACCCCGTCTCTCCAGCTCGCGATCCAGCATGACAAGTGGGACCAATGGACAACGTGTTTTGTGCTCGACGGGTTCGAGCTGCCCGCAAACCCTTTCCTCGGCTTCAGCGCCTTGACGGGAGACGTATCCGGTCAGTAATCTCACTTCCTGGTTCGAACGCAATTCCTAACCTCATGTCTGATGGTCTATCACAATATCCTCTCGAAACAGACGCGCACGACATCATCTCCATCACGACCTCCAACATCGCGTACCACCCGCCTTCGGTCGAAAACAACAACCGACCTCCAGGCTCGCGAGGAATCCCGGGCAAAGCCTTCTTTAGCTTCATTGGGCGCTTGCTCAAGTGGTTCGTCTTTTTGGCGATGATCGCCGCGGCTTGGATCGGGTACAAGAATTGGAAAAAGACCAAGAGCCACAAGCGGTTCTAGAGGGACGAAAGGAGGGGGTGCCTCTGAATGGAGGGGGCCAGAGTACGATTGTACGCGACACTGCCTTTCCGGCTGTAGATTCGAGCAGGGTCCGAAGCTGGATGAGAGGCAAGGGCTGGGAGGGCATGTTACGTTTGCATGGATCTGTTCTCGCTCCTGACCTAGAACCGGTAGAGGGGCGCTCCGAGTCTCATGCTCGAAATGGTGCAGGTTCGCGCCGCGTGTTGTCTTGTGACTACAAATCCCACTTATTTCGCTTCCCAAACATGCAACATGTGATCATAAAATGAGCAACTCGCGACCACATCCCCTGCCCCCTCTTCCTCCCCTTTCCTCTTGAAAGATCTTCCCCAATCAACACCGTAAGCCAAACTCTCATGCCCATCGAACCTAGTCTTTAAAACACACTCCCCCTTCCCTTCACCCATCCCCTCTCCAAATTCAACGACTTTGAACCCATCGTGCATGCACGCGACGAGCAGACGATCAACTTGCTCGCGATGCCACTTCAATCGCCAGATCCCACCCCCCGCATCGTAAGTAGTCAAAGGGACGAGGGGTTTCCGTTTGTCAAACAGTCGGATATGGGCGTCGTAGGATCCGACGACGAAGAGGTGGTCGAGGGTCGGGTGCGATTGGATCGAGGTGACGCCGCCCTCGAAGCTGTGGGTGGTGGGAGGGAAACAGGGTGTTTCGGCGGGTGAGCTGGGATATCATAGGGGGCAGAGCGTGGAGTGGTTTCTCGCTCTAGCCCTCTGAGGAGTGGTGACGTACCGCTTGTTGACAAAAGTAGGTGAGACACACCCTTGTCTCAGATCCCATCCTTTGAGCTTCAGGTCGTCACCCCCTGATGAGTTGATCGTAAACTCTCAAACCGTCAATGACCCCGGCGGCCACAAGACCGACCCCACAAAAGTTGTTGCCCGAGAGCGACGTACCCGTCCACACCGTATTCGGTTCCCGGCCATCAAATGCCGCGATCCAGGCTTCATAATCATGCGCTTGCCAAGTATCGAGCACTTGCAGACCCCCTATACCATCAGGCGAAGCGGCTGAGTCCGAGGTTGCGGCTAATGTGCAAATTTCTCCGGATGAGAGGGAGACCACGAGATCGGCTGGTCTGAGAGGGGCAGGGTGGAGGAGGGTGACGTAAAAATGGTAGAGGAGAGAGGGGATGATAGGTCAGCATTGATCAGGGAGCGGACAGCTGTAGATCGGACTAACCCTTTCCGAGCGTTTCGGGTCGACCAATCGAGAGAGAGGCACAGCGTCGATTCCGAAGTACATGCTAATGTTTCCAAATGTGAGAATCGGTTCTGCAGCAAACACCACAATACAGAGTGATTGTCGTCAGGACCCGCTTAGATTTGTAAAGAAACACGCAGAGAAGAATCATTTCCGGACTGGCGCCTCCCCGAGGAAATTTACCGAGCCTTCCTCAAAGCTATGAAGTTGCACGTGACCTTTGGCGTCGGCGATGGCCAACGTCGTTCGGCCTCGATAAGGCATGGGCGACCTATACGCGTCATTCTCCAAAACATCAGCAAAAGGGTGACAGTACAGTATCGGACTGACGGTACTGACCACTTCATATCCAAGATCGCCGGACCATCAAATCGCTGAAGTTCGGTCCTACGACCGACGCGAAAGGAGTAGAGGTCAGCGTAGATACACTCGCACCGTCCCACAACGCAGCTCGAACTGACAATTTAGAACTCTTCCGATCAAAATGATACAACAGACACCTTCCATAGCGCGTGATAGGAGGCGAGGAACCCTCGTCCTCCTGTTCATCGTCGTCCTCATCGTCCTCTGCGGATCCGTCCCTCTTCCTCGGCGCCTCTCCCATCGTCTCTTGTTGGATCTGATACGTCCCGCAGACGAAGAGGTCATTTTCTGGATCGGGATGGAATTCAATCGCATCGGCTGAATAGACCGTATCGCATGATGCGAGCGAACGGGCTTGCATCGCACCCCGAATGAAGGATGAGTAAGTAGCTTGCTTGCGCGGGCGAGAGAGAGAGAGAGAGCAGGTCAAGCGACTCTCAAATCGCAACCACTCGTTCTATGCAAGGAGATCTATATCTCTTCATCCAAAAACCAGCACGTAACAAGAGACAAGTCCAACCAAGAAAAAGAAGAGATGTAATCGGAACCCAAAACAAAGAAATGAAAAAAGGACACGAGCCTATCCAGGGGAAGAAATATCTATAAAGCTCAACACAAACCCATTACATTTCTTCCCCGCAAAGTGCATTTTCAAAAACTAAGGCGAGAATTTCATCATCTACTCGCCTTCGCACACGACCCCACGTCCGCTCATTTACGACCCGCAATCCATTCCTTGACGACGTCGGCGAACGAGACCATGCACACCGTCTGCCAGATGCCCAAGCCGATACGGGGCGTCACACCGCGGTAGAGACCCTTGAGACCGTTCTCCTTGTAGATGTACGATAAGGTGTTAAGCACGGTTGCCTTGCCAGGTCGGTCGACGCTCTTGCCCTTGGCCATAGATTGCATCTGAGGTGGGGGTAGGAAAATTGGATTAGTTAGCCCTCCTGTGGTGGGGTGGCCCTGAATGCGGGTGGACTCACCTCGACTCGAACGACTTCGATCGGTTGGTTCCAGCACCCCAAAGCACCACCAATGGTCGACGCGGCGATACGGTCCATCGCTCCCAATCGTTCGCTCTCGGGCACACCACGCGCCTTGCGGATCGATTGCTCGGCGAGACGAGCGAATCCCATGCTGATTGGTGAATACGGCGAGGGAAGGGCTCAGAGTGTCAGTTGCGTCGTGACGTGACAGAAATGAGATGCAGTCGTCCCCAATCAGGTGAACTGACCGAGATCCCCAGTTGGTCATCTGACGAAGCGCGACAGCGTTGACACCCTTGTTGATACCGCGGATACCACCCTCACGCCACATGTCACCAAAGAGCTTGAAGCTGTACAACGCGGTAATCCAAGGACGGAACGTCAGCTTTACATTGAGGGAGAAGAGGGGTTGAGAGGACGTACGTCGAAGGGGGTTTGACACCACCGGCGGCGAGCTTGCTCCTCGTGATCTCGGCCGTCTTCATGCATGTGCAGAAACCTATGAGCAGTTGGCTAGGTCAGCATTCTGTGCGGGGAAGTACCTGCTTGCTGCTTTCTCTGAAGCTTGAGAACGCGCGAGAGGCACGAGAGCGAGAGTGCAAGCAGGACTCAACCCATGGTCGCATAAGCTTGGGCAACACCACCCCCCATACCACCGAGCAGTCCGGCCGCACCGGGGGAGATGCCCGAGTTGACGGCAAAGCCTTCGATCTCGGCCGCGGTGAAGAGCAAGACGGCGCCTTTGGTCGAGGCTTCAATCCATGCCCAGGGGATCAGACCTTGGTAGACTGCGACGGACGGACCGGAGGATGTGAGTGGAAGAGCGTTGCAAAAAGCATGGGTACTGTACGTGGCACTTACAGCCCAATACACCACCTCGGCCCCACACCTTCCTGAGGGCCTGGCCCATGGTGTCGGTTCGCGCCGAGGCCATTTGGGTCTTGACCACTTCGAGCGGTTGGCCCAACGTCGTGACCTATTCAATTCGGATGCGTCCACATGGCATTCGGTGGCGAGGTTGTGGTGCACGAGGTGAAGACGATTCGATCGAGAGACGGAGCAATCGGCGGCCGTCATACGTGTCAAAGAGAGCGCGCGGCGCGGCGGATTTTTGGGACGGAGACGGAGTTGGACCGTGGTGGGTGGTTGAGTACGTGACAGGCAGCGCCGCGCCGGAGAAACAGCGAAGAACAGCGAGTGAACAGGAGGCGAAAGAAACCAAGATTGTCAGCACTTTGAACTTGGACCGGACAAGACCCCCGCCCCCCCCCCCCTGTCAAGCTCGGCACTGACCTCGAACATGTTCATCACACCACCGACTGTGCAGCGTAACCACGGCGCGGGGCGGGGGTTGGGAATCCGGTCAGCTTCAAGTCAGCTCCGCGCCGGCGCGCTCCTCCCCCGCCGAGCACCAGCTGAGGCACGCGAGGACTACTGACCAGCGATGTTGGACCAGGCGATCGGTCGTCGTTCTCCCTTCTTGAGAGGGGCTTGAGCTGCCATAGGTGCCATGATCGGTAGGGATAGGGATAGGGTGGTGGGTTCGTGGGATGGGCTATCGAACGAGCGGAGGGGCGACTGGAGTGGGGGAAGCGAGAGTCGAGGCGCGAGAGGACACGTCTAATCTCGTCTAATTGGGGAGGGCCAAATCCGTTCGGCTCGCCGACGCCCGAGAGTCACATGCCTCAGCATAACTTATTTCCAGCTCTATGCTCTGAAAAAAAAATCCTTCAAAAATTTCGTCCATTTCGGATCACATGTATCGTGCAGCATGAAAATCGTACCCGTATCGCTGATCCGGTCGCCAGCGTTCGGAATCTCTCGGCCCCCGCCCAGCCATCCCGCGTTCCTCCGCCAGCCTGGTCCATTCGTTCGATTGGTGTAGGTCGGGACGAGACACAAGATCGTTCGGTCGCCATCGTTTGAGAGAAAGCTCCTGTCTTACTTCTGCTTTGTTCTTGCTTGGGTGGGCTCCACCATGCAGCCTCGTGGTCAAGATGGTGTGTCCCATGAAGAATTTTCGCCCTGCCCCAAAACCATCTCATCTCGGAAAAATCCAGTGGACTCGGTCAGATCCTCTCCAAACGGTCCCACACGGCTTCTTTCACGCCTCGTTACAGTTACATACACACCCAAAGCAACTCGACCACCCTCCTCGAACATTCTCTTCTCTTTACCGCCTCAACAAGAGGTACACGTTCTCGCCGACGGTGACGTTGGAGACATGTCGGTAACTCCCCGACAAAGCCATCAAGAGACCACCGAACGAGGCGTAGGCCGTGACGCGTTCTTGCGTGTCTTGGTCGAATTTGTACACCTAGAGACGGAGGGAGGGAGAGGGGTGAGGGATGAGAGTTGGAAAGGGGTGAGTTTTCCTGCCGGCGGAAGTTCCCGCTCTTGTCGCCATGCAATGCAATAAAGCCGTTACTCGCCTTGCCATACATGACGTATTCCCACTCATCGGCGATTCCACCTTCGATCCCTGCCCTCCATCCTCCTGCGGTCTCCTTCTCCCCCTCGGGCAAGAGCGACGAGGTGAGCGCGAGCGTGAAGGTCGTTTGGGGCGTGATGGGGAGGAGATCGATGTTGACCTGTTTCAAGGGAGTGATCAGGAAAGTTGGCTGGGTCTAGACGACGGCGAGAGATGGCCGAGGGGAGATTCTCACGTCGAGTGTCAGGTCCATGTCGTAGTTGGACGAGCGAGCTGTCAGTCGCGAGACTGCGAGAGGGGAAGAATGGAACCATGCCAGTGTCAGGCAGCGGAATCGGACCGGTTCCAGTGTTGTTGAACGTACCTCGATCAAACTTTTTGCCATCTATCGTTGACGATGGAGGCAATACGGGGGTAATGACGGGCGGTAGACGAAAAATGTCGTCGGCCAGATACGACGTCGCAGGTGAGGCCAAGGAACGTGAAGAGCGAACGTCAGTGCTGTGGTAGACGTGTCGGTGTGATCTGATAGGTTGCGTACCCCTGTCCACGTCGGTGGTGGTGAACATGTCTTGGAAGAGGAACGCGGAGGTCTGCGACGAGCTCATGATGTACCGAAGCTGGGGGGTTGAGCTGTGAGCTGTGAGCTGTGAGCTGTGAGCTGTGAGCTGTGAGCTGTGAGCTGTGGGGGACTATGCAGCAGTACCGGTATCAGCGATAAAGCTTCCTTTGGATGTCGCAAGCCTTGAGATCGTACCTGCGAGGGTGGGAACGCGGATATGCGGTGCTGAGCCGTCGTCAGATGGTGATCGAATGTGATGCGCAGAAGCAGGCAGGAGCTGCTGGCAGGAGCTCAACCGATTGCGAAGTGCCCGGTGCTCCTCTCTCTCTCTCTTTCTCCGCTTCCTGGGCTCGTCCTCGGGACTTTCTCGGGCGCGCGCAATTCGGCATTACCCAGCATGTCTTTCCTCACACCCACAACAACAATACGGGCAACCGCAGCCGCGAACAAATCTTGTCGTACCTGTAGAGCCGCTCAGATCGCCTCCATCACCCCTCCTACCCGACGAATCCGCCGTGCATCATACTCCACATCCTCGAGCACCTCCCCTCCTCCCGACCCACTCTCCGCCCCGGGTCCACCCCCCTCCCGCTTCTTCACCCTCTCGACCCTCTATCCGTTTCTCCTTCTCAGCATCACCACCTCTCTCGCCATAAACCTCCGTTCGTCAAGGAATGCGAATGCCACCCAAGTCGCTCATCTGAATGCCCAGATCTCGATCTTGGAACGCACTCTGGAAAGGATAACGTCTACGAAAGGCGGTTGGCAGGCTTTGACCGACCAGGAACGAATACGGATCGAAAGGGAGTTGAAATCGATTGGCTTGCGGGAGAGCGAGGAGAAGGATCGACCGGAATCCGAGGACACGGGGGAAACGAGTTGGAGCGAAGTGATTTTTGGCAACCAGGAGAAGAGGTATCAGGCGAGGCAGGCGACGGATGATGACACCGATTGGGAACAGGGTCAGTTTGGGGTGTTTGTTGTGTCTGGGGACTGAACGATGACGGAGGAGATGAGCTGATCAAGAGAGGGCCACTCACGTGTGTGGGGGGTGTGGGGGAAATTGGTAACACAGTTTTCAAACAGGCCGACCAGGACGAGATCAACCGGGTCGCCAAGGACCAAAAGCGCAAGAACGCCTCCACAGACGCATCACCTTCGACTATATCAGCTGTCAACACTCTGACAGATCACGGCTCAACACGCCAGAGTACAGCGCTACCACTTGGGTCCTCCAGCCCACCCACGTCGTTGGAGACCAGGAAATCCCCTCCTGCTGCATCTGCAATCTATCTCTAAAGGTTGTATCAACCAAGCACCTTTTACACACGTCTCACGAGCGCAACATGAGATCACCCTTCGACCCTTCAGTCTATCACTCCATCCCTAATTCCTCCCAAACGTTCTCCAAAGCCTCCCTCCCTAGCGCGATCCACACCCATTCCCCTTCGTCCCCATCCTCCTCCTCCTCATCCTCCTGATCGTCCTCACCTTCTTCCACAACCCGCTTGGGCCTGTTCATCGAGCCTCGCACGACGTTGTGGTCCCTGAATTCAGCCAAGAGTCCATCGACTTGGTCGTTGTGCGCCGCTAAGAGGCGATCCGTCGCGAGTTCTTTGAATCTAAAAGCGGGCAAAGAATAGGAGTCAGTGGGATCCGTGAAAGGTATCTCCGAATCAGAGGCCCGCGCACTTGTCCAACAGGATCGCGCAACCCGGTGCTCGGCCCCCACCCCCACCTCCGCCTCCTCCCGCAACGCCGACTTTATCCTCCCCTTTCCTAGCCCTCATTAGCTCCAACTGTTGACACGCCAAGAGGTTGAAGATACTCTTGGCTCGATCTGTGACCGAAGCCAAGACGTGGCGCGTCGACTGCACGAGCGACGATGTGGAAGGGTCCAGGGTCGAACTTAGAGGAGGAAAAATCGTCGAAGGGAAGAGACGGGACAGGGTACCGTTGTGCAGGACTTCGGTCGTATAAGGTTGTCGAGTCGAGGCCTGTTGGTAGAGAAAAGTAAAGGAGCGTATGTCGAGGTTCGCTTGATGCCGTTTGAGGTTTGGCGGTGGTCGAGTCGCTGCCAATGCGGTGGGGAAGAGGAGACCACTTCGGACGTGGTCGACGGAGGCGACGAAGTGGAGGCGGGGCTGGGAAGCGAGCAGAGCGAGGATGGACAGAGATTTTGAAGCTCGAAGGCTAGGTGCGTCGAGGCTGTGGACAACGAGGTAGATGTCGGGCAAAGCGGAGGGTGCCGAAGCAAGCGAATGCACGAAACGCTGGGCCCGGGCTTCGATCGCCGAGGTCGAACCTGAGATGACGAAGGTCGTATCGCTCGAATCGTTTGTCATGGCGTTGGCTTTGCCCTTCCCTTTGGTCGGAGAGAGGGACTTGGCCGAGGGCTTGTGACCCGACCGCGTCTTAGGGATCGCCTCGAGCAAGTCTTGCCGGATCGCCTCTTTCACGATCTCCTCCAAAGCGGTCAGAACGTCCTGCAAAGTTGTCGAGGGATCGTAGCCATTGACGACGACGACGGGACCACACCTCGTCGACACCTCTTCGGCGAACCGGTTCAGGAGTGGTATCTTGCTGCCGACGCCGTGGACCAAGTAGTTGAAGCCTTGCTTCATGTACCAGACCCAGGTAGCGAAGCACCGCAGCGACAGCTTGTCAAGCGTCGCTTGCAACGAGGCATGGTACGCGTCCATGGCAGGGGCGGTGCCCGAAGCGTGCAGTACCGACAGGTACGAGTCGTGCGTGAAGGGTTCGTCAAAGTGGGCCGAGAGGAGGTTGTCCGAGGTTCTGGAGGTCATCGAAGAGGCGAGCAGGTAGGCGTCCCCCGAGGACGAGGTGACGAACGAAGGGGCGTTGAGGTGCGTCGTTTCCTCGGCGGTCTTGGGGGCCCTTCTGCGATTCCTTTTTGTAGGGGTTGAAGGTTGGCCTCGAGTGGATTTAGGGGTTCGTCGATGCCCTTCTTCATCCCCCTCGTCGTCATCATCGTCCTCGTCCTCCTCTGAGTCCTCTTCTTCTTCCTCCTCCTCCTCCTCATCCTGCACCGGCCCTTGGTCCTCCTCCTCCATCATGTGTGATGGATGACGTGCTCCACGTTCAGATGCGCTCGCAGGAGCCTTCTTGGATCGGGTCGTCGTCGTCGATTTCGACAGTGGGGAAGGCTTGGTAGGCGAATGAGCCGTCGTGGCCGCCGTCGTCGTTCGCCGTCGTTTACTTCCATTCCCATTCCCACTCCCACTCCCACTCGCAATGCTCCTGTTCGAGACTCTAGGGGATGGCATAGTCGTGGATGGATCCCGTCCGAGCCCTCCGGTGTGTAATCAAATCGGAAAGGACGCCGACAGGGCGGGAAGAGGCGCGACGCGACGCGTGGTGAGCGTTCTTTTATGACGCGCGCGTAAGAGTCGAGCAGTAGTCGAGCTCGAATGCGAGATTTAGAATTTCGAGCGATCATGTGCTCGGAGCCACCAAAAACACTCAAACCTTTTGACCTCCTGTTATTCATCACACACCCCGACCGAAAAGGACACCCTTGTGAGCGGTGTCGTAGAGCACACCGGCTTCCTTGACTTGGGGGGTTCGAGTGTCGAGGCAGCGGTCAACTTTGCTACAGAAATTTAGTACATGCCGTATTCTTACTGGCACTCCGCAGCCCCACCCTCTCATCCCGCTCCTCAACCATGAGTATGTCGCAGATCTCCGACTTGAGGCTCTTCCAGGACATATCCACCACCACAGACGGGGTCAGGTGCGGGGTCAGGTGTATGTCAAACCTCGTTATCTCATCACAGCAGCCACCGCTTTCGCTTACTCTGCTTGGTCTCACTCGCGGAGACTTTCCGATTGCGCCGAAACTTTACCCAACCTCTCCCGCGACACGTCCCGCGATCCCGCTTCCCCTGACTCTCCTTCTTGCCGCTTCTACCTTCATGCTGTCTTCTTCGTTAGTTTTGGCTCGAGCCTCTGTCGCACCTACTGCAATGGCGCCAAGGAGCTTGTTTACCCACCATTGATACGGTCCGCAAGTCCCGTTTCTCGTGGTGAGCACAGACACCTCGCAAGGCCGATCCTGGCTCTCGTTCTGCCCGCGCACATAACCACAGGGGCGCACATTGACATCGCCCGTCTCGATCGCTGCCCGCTCATGCTCCTTCCGATACCCGAACTCGGTCGAAGTTTTTGCTTGTCCCCGGGCATTGTCGCCTCCGTTGACATCCGACAGAGCTGCTTGGACTTGATCCGAGGTCGAGTGGTGGTCAGGCTAGACAGGTCAGAAAGTATAGAGCAGGAAAATCTGCGTGTACGACTACTCCGAGAGCGATTGGGCCCATGGTAGTGGGGTGGGTGGTAGGGCGGAGGGTAGGAACACGGCCGTCAGGGGAGCTCGATCTCGCAAGCGCTGTCTCCTGAGTGACGCAATGCTAGGAGTGCCATCAAGCAGGCCTGCGATTACGTCGGGCCCTGGGCGGCGGAGACATGCCCCCACTACTCTAAAACGACCGCAGGCCATGGTTTTCGCTTCTGTTACAGCCCCACTTCATGAAACCCACAGTATGTAAACGCGAAAAAAAAAAACTTTACCCCTAACATCGATGCCAAATTCGGCCCCCAAGGATGAACGCGGACGAGTCCTTGGCACACGAAATACGCATTTGGTGTTGTCTCTGGCAGCATCAGTAAAGCCGCTTCTGTGGGAAAGGGGGCGGGGGGATATTGTCAGGATCCACCCTTTACTTCGAAGCGTCCTTTCCCGCGGCTTGGAAAGTGGTTCGCAGTCTTTTGCCCATAACTTTCATCTTACTTTTGAGCACCCTCTGGAGCACCCTGTCGTTCTTATATTCGGACAGCACCTTGACCCGTATCATCATTCGGCCCTTCGTACTTTATCCCCGCGCTCGGCGGCACATAACTTCCGCGCTGCATCCATGTTTTTCCCGAGTGTCGAGTCTGAGAAGACAAATTGCATAGCCCTTACAGTCCCAACGAAATGAGAGGTCAAAACAAAATGAATGTGTCTGCCATTTTTAAACTTTGACTAGGTTCGGCGGCGCGCTCCGCGCGCCACCTCACACCGTAACTGTTGACCCGCTGAAATGTGATGTACTTTGCTGCAACAGCTGCGGTACTGTTCAGTGATGGTCCAAGTCGGGAGAGGACCGCGGGACGACGATCAAATGTAAAGAGCCTTCATTTCAGGACGTTTCTGACACCGTCCACATAGTTGCTCGGCACAACGCGACATACAACTGGCCGTGAGAAAAGACGGGCGTCTCCAGACACACCCCTACCTGCGCAAGTGCCAACTGCTCTTGCAACTTGCTGAACGTCATAGCCATTGTCAGCCGAATTGGAAACTGCGTCCGATGCAGAGTGAACGGAAGCTCAGCTGATGACCCTGTCTTCAGCGTGATCCGTGGCAACAAATCTGGCTGTCCAGCATGATCTCCTGTGAGAATGATGGCCTCGAGCAGGTGGGTGTGTAACCGAGTTGACAACAGTCTTGTGCCGTTGCACAGCCCCGCGGCGGGGTCCAAGTTTCCACTTTGTATCTTGCAGCGTGCAACGGCATCCCGGCGATGTTGAGACTCTGAAGGTACTTGATCGAGAACAGTGATCCGTCTTCATTTTCGACCGAATCCGCGCTGTAGAACGTTTGAGCGTCACCCGGCAGCAGGTCGGGCACCATGTCGTTGATCTGTGCGAATTTTTGGGCGCCAGAATTGCTCGATCTCGAAAGTTTTCGACTTTTTCGCCTATCGACGTATTGCCTTTGCCCGTTCCGTTTCGGTCATGCGGTCTGCAGCGGCCAGAAGACGCATGTCTGTCTGCGCTCGCACCGTGGGCTGTTGTTAGTATAGGTCTAAAAGTCAGGCAAGGACTACTACTTACAGAGAGATCCCCCCAGAAGTCGCCATTCATGATGCAAGCGTCGACGATTTGTGCAGGCGATGACGTGGAATAACGGGAAGGCATCGCTTCGGAACCCCTGTGATGTTACAGTTCAATCAATCAGTTAGTCACACCGCCCTGCGCTTTGCTTTTGAAAGATTGGCACACACCTGCCAACACGACGGTCACTCCACCGAACCGAGCCATGGAATAACGGGAAGGCATTGCTTCGGATTTCCTGTGATGTTACAGTCCAACCGGTCAGTTAGTCATGCCGCCCTGCGCTTTGCTTTTGAAAGATTGGCACACACCTGCAAACACGACGGTCACTCCACCGAACCGAGCCGTTGAGGATCTGCCACGGGATGGTGAGCCGCAATCCACGGAACCAGAGCCTGTTTTTCTGCGTGATTCGTTTATTACAACTATCAGTATTCTTGCTGTTGTCCATCTGTAGCAATGACAGTGAAGACTCACATCTAGTGTTCCATGGACCCGGATTCTCAACCGTACGAAGTCAATCCTTCCGCTGTATTTTCCCGTGGCCTGCTTCCTTCACGAGCGTTGTTGTAGAATAAGGGGTGTTTGTGGGCATCGATGTCGTTTTCCCAGACAGGCCACGGTGGGTGCCCCCGCTTTTGATAGGGCACCTCCTGTCACTGACGATACAATGTCTGTTTCTCGTTCAGTTTTTCCGTCATACCTGCGTGCACAGCCAATGTCACGTGAAACTCACGAATGCAGTCACCAATTGATGGTGGAGGAAAGCAACTCGAGGGTTGACATTCAACGAAGACGTGTTGAAGGGAATTGCTGTTTGGTAGTTTTCCATTAGCTCCTGAACAATCCCACACCTAGAGCACAGTTCATGAAGGCACTTACTCGAATCCATAGCTATGCTGCATGCTGCAACTTGTCCCGTATTCGTTGCAGAGCTTCCACGACGACCGCTTCGGGTGTCGGATCGGCCCACCCGTTCGATATCTGCGGCTGAGGCTGGATGGATGGTTGGTTGACATCATGTCAAGGGGCTGCTCCCCTAGACGTTTTGCTGTTCGCGTTACTTACTACACGGAGGCATCCCTGTTGAGAGATCGATCAACCGATACTTCCCAAGCATTGTGACAACTACCTGAGCCGTGTCCTGGGCCAGGACCGTATTGCGGCAAGTCGATCGACGTCATCGACTGACAGAGCTGTTCGTTCGCCATCCGCGAGTTGTGTTGGGGCTTCTTTCGTGATGGGCGATAGGATGAGTGGCGATGGGTTAGGTGTGAAGAGCAGGAGGGAGAAAGATGGAGAAGCCTGCGCCTCAGTTTGAACTGGGTTCATAGAATGTCGCGGAAGGCCGCGGAACGACGTGGAGTGAGGCCCAGTGTCGGCAAGCCGTGACACGCTGGCGGGGCCCCTAACGGCGGAATTGGCGCACTGGCCGACACTACCCGAGGTCTGGAGCTGCTCCAAAGCGTGGACGAACGAATCTCAAGCCCGGAGGTGAAGGACTGCGGGCCCGTCGCACTTGCCGTGCGACTTAAGACTGCCTGCTGCCGGTGCAGATTGACTTGACGAACCAGTTTGCGCGACGTCGTGTTGATCGATTGGCGGCGGCGACTGTGCGATTAGAGCAGGAGTCGGGTTGTACGGAGGAGGCTCAGCTCGCTCACGATGGCGACGTCTCTGCTGCCCCTCTGCTCTCCGTGCGGCGTGAAGATTGTCGTACAGGAGACGGGGCGTGAAAGTTTGCAGATGACATCTCGGCTCTGGCAGGAGCTGGATGATTGAAGGAACTACGCTACGATGTGGTAGACACGCAAAACAGGTCGTCGCAGTCTGTTTCAGGAAGCAGAGTCACGTGCTCTTCAATGGAACCTCGGCGAACGTAGACGAAACGGTCTGTCGCTGGCCGACCCGTGCTGAAACAGCGCTAGCTAGCTGGGACGCATTGGACCGAGAGCTGCCTATGACGTCACGCCACATGGTTCCTGTTCTTTGACGTTCTTTGTCTCCCGTTCTCTGACGTTCTTTAGCCACACAGACGTTTTTATAGATTAAGGATAGATAGATATTTAGTAGTTTAGGATTTAGGATTCACGGAGATTTTCAAGTAGATGTAGATGGATAGATCTTTCCGTCCTTTCGTCGTGTCGCAGGTGACGGTTTTAAAAAACAGTTGAGACTCCTTTCGGTGGAATGGGAAAGATTCAATTCGACGCGAAGTCAAATTAGGTTGTGGATGTAAAGTTTGCAACTAGCAAATGACCTAAGCTCGGTTATAAACCTCACTGCTATAGGTGCTTGCCCGAGCACAAGAATGCCCGAGACGGTCCACGACGATTGTTCGACAGTGCATAGGGATCCATTTTGGTAGCGCGCTTGTGGTGCTTTAACCTCGGAATTCGGAATTCGGACCTTGATAAAAAAAAAAGCACGCAGACATTATCGCGAAAATGGCGGGCAACTCTGGTCTCACGTCTTAGGCGCTCTTGGTCTCACGTCAAAGGGAACTCTGGTCCCACGTCCAAGGGAACTCCGGTCCTACGTCTCGCGCAACTTTGTGACCACGTCGGAGGTCATTGTGATCCCACTTCAAGAAACCCTTTGGTCCCACGTTGTCGGCCACATTGATCTCACGTTGTTGGTCACGTTGGTAACACGTTATTCAAACGGCTGTATCTCTTGCAACAGTCGATGTATCGCATCTGGCATAGCGTTCAGATGTTTGTACAGCCCCATAGTATCTCTCGCTGGCAGCTTAAAGTCCTGCATGCAGTATTCAATACATTCACCGTTGAGGTCACGTGACGTCTCTGTGGCCCTGCGTCGCGGCTCCCGTCCTCCGTCTGTTGCTGAGCTGCCTATATATATACTTCGCGTCGTATACAATACAAGCTCTCATTTTAGCTCTACTGACCACGCTCATCAGCTATTTGTCTTTCATACATGCGCCAAGCGCAAATGACCGGTTTTTCTGGTTCCGAACTGCGTGACTATATTTTGGATGTCGTGATACACACCCGTCTTCACCTATGCGGGTCTAAATAAGCCTAACAAATATACTACCCCGCGCGCGGCGAGTTTAGGGAGCTTTTTCGAGATTTGGCCCAGGAAAACGTTGGTACAGGGTAGGTGCACCATTCCCCTGCCAACCCCCAGCCCCCGGAGGCAAAACTGGTCACTAATTCGGGCACTTGCTACTTATCCCCGCTAATGGTCCATCTGCCTCAGCACCACGAGTTCCCCCCACTTCCCTCCACCCAAGGCCTTGCAAGCTTGCACCCATCGCTTCAAGCATGGACATCTTACCACACACACCACCACCTCTACAACCTAGCTCAGCATCAAAACGCACTGACAAGACCAAGCGCAAGAAGAGCACGACCGTGAGGAGGAGGAGGAAGAAGGTGACCTGCAGCAACAAGGACACGATCGAGAATGGGGCCACGACGTCGGTGGGAACGGAGGAGGAGGCGAAGACGAAGAAGAAGAAGAGGAGGACATTATGGACCAAGCGAGTACGGAAAAGGGAGCCATCGTTGTCCCCCGATAGCGAGCTGTTCGACAAGACGTTCGGCTTCAATTTCGGTATTTTCCGCTCTCCAACGAAGAGGCGTCCGAAACGGCAGCCGAGCCCTCCCCCATCACCATCGGTCCAGAGGTCAACGCGTCGTCGGAAGGAGAAGGAGCATTCGAAGAAATCCATTGCCGGCCTCCACAAATCATCGTCCGAGCCTTGGACTGACATTGCCGATGGCGCAACGGCGTGGCCTCTAGACACCGAGACCGGCGGTTTCGAGCACGACTTCGAGCCTAACAGCGCGCCCGGCTTTGAGCCCGACTTTGAGCCCGACTACGACTTCGGTCGCGATTTCGGTGGTGGATACCCATCTGGACCGGAGCATTCGCCATTCCACCCAGACGGTGCTTCTCAAGACCAAGCGCCCTCTTCACTTAAGCGATCGCGGATCGAGAGGAACGCCAAGAAGCAGCGCAATCGTCGCCGGACTGCGAGGGCCGAAGCTAAGACTAGGGCGTCAAAACGACCTGAACTTTTCCAGGCGTACCTATTGATGAAGAAAAAGGCCAAAGAAGTGCTTCGACAGAGCGGGTTTGTCCCTTCCCCGGACGACGAGGAGTGGTGCCACGCATGTCATGAACGCCGAGTCACCAGAAAGGTCCGGGTTGTCGACCTGTTCTTTGCAGGTAGGTGCTTCTATTGCACATCTTTTGTCAACCACCCCTACGCTATCGTCTTGGACTGATTTGATATCCCCCAACCATGAGCAGGCATGCGAGAACTACGATACTGCCCATGCTATTCCGAGATCCAAACCCTGGCAGCTCACGGTTTTCTCCCGACGTCGTCATCTTCAAACCGAAAAAGAGAAGGCATCACCGCATTCACCTTTCGCACGATCGAATATCTTGACACCTACTGGGGGGTAGATCCTTTTGGTATCTATGGCATGTCCGAAGCGCTCATTCTCTTTTGGTCCTCTGAATTATCCTCGGAGGATCCTTTTAACAAGGTGGGCTCTGGACAGGGACAGGCCGGAAACATTCATTGTTTCTTACAGAATATATTGGAAGCTTCCCAGGGTCCAACCGTGCGTCAGCATCTTCAAGCCGCAATGGATGAATATCGATTTATGCAACAGCTGCAGGCAACTTTGACCGCCGAAATTCTCGGCCTCTCCCCGCGCGAGCGTCTGGCCGACGTTTGTCCGGCATGTTTTGGGCCTCGGATCGATGAAGCCGGCAAGAGCGAGAATGACCTCGATGTCATCATTGCTGTCGACGGCAATTTTCAGCATCGACGATTCGCGCGGGCAAATGCTGATCCTCTCAAGTCACGTCCAGCGTTATTCCTGCCACCAGACAAGATTCGAAACGAGCAAGCTTTGATCGATGGATCGACTGAAGCGGGCGAGAAGGTACCTTGGTGCTGCTGGTGTCGGGTCACCCGAACCCAATAATGAGTTGACCCGACTGTCTGTGATTGCTAAACGAGCTATTCTCCTATACAGGATGAATGCACAGCCAACTGGAAGGCCGCAGATGGTGGTGTGACCTCCGCTTCGTCAAATGTAGTGGCCGACACAGGCCTCGTTGCTGCAGTGTGCCGTCATGATCATTGCCTGCGACTTTGCAACCTTCATCAATCAGGTGAAAAGTATGTGTGGACTGGCCATCTGTGACTCCAGGCAAGGACACTAATAAGCTAGTTTGGTCTACCGCAGGTTAGTATATCCGGTGTCGCTGTTGAAATGGATTCTCGAAGAAGTTGAGGTCGGAGAAACGGATTGTACTACGGGGCCTGCGCGTACCAGTGACGCTACAAACGTCGGATCCAGCTCGGGATCGGACTCCCACCAAAGTTCGAGTCAGGATCGAAGTCGCGTCGGAGTCGCGTATGATATCGCCTGCAACTTATCGTCGCACTTACGCCGAGTGAGTTTGTTCGTGACACTCAGCCTGAGCATTGGCTTAGTCCGTAGCTGAGCAGCTCATCTCTCCCCGGTGTCGCAGCGCAATCTTCTGGCAGACCACTTACCGCGTCTAGAATTTGCTCTCTCGTCGATGCATGCCTATGCGCACAAGTGGTCCTGCCAGGTTGACTTTGATCCGCGCTTTCTACCCAATTTTGGTTTGACTGATGGCGAGGGAACTGAGCGCTTGTGGTCGCAGCTTCGAGGCATGATACCCATGAATCGATCATCGAGTGCCTCCCATCGGCTGGAGAACATCAATCGTCGAGCGTCTGCTTATAACAAGCAGCATCTGGCCGATCTTGGTTCGCCTAAGCTTCCAGTCTTTCATGCACTACCTTACCATGTCGCTGATATTTGGCGTATCGATCATGCCCAGTGACCAAACTTAATTCTCGACTCAAAAACGCAATCAAGCTCAAGGCCGAAGCCGACAGAGTCATTACTGAGGTCGTTAATCGCTCCGAATGGACGGTCGCTACCCTCCTTGAACAATGGCACGCGCAACGTGCAGCGTCCAAGCAGATCCCTCTGAAAGAACAGCGCAAAGAGGTAGCCGAGATGCGCAACGTCATGTTCAAGCTTGAGCTGGTTAACAGAGATATCGCAGCATGCCGGTGGGTCTGAGCTATCGTCGTCGTTTGGGAGTGAGACACGAACCGGTGACCTAACTTCGGTATTCCTTTTTCGATTGCTACAGAGAAGAACTAGCCTGCGTGAACACCATAAATACGAACAAGCTTATAGAACAGTCGACTAAACTTCAACAGCTGGTCAAACAACGGCAGGTTCTTGATGATCGACTAAACTCCTTACGCACATCGGAAATGAACATCAGTGTCCTGG